TAATTGAATTATCAAATTAGAGGTGGTGTTTGGATAAATAATTGTTATTCAGAGGGGACTTAGTGGTCATAGTGAATGACTCACTGGGTGTTTCTGAGTTGAATTTATAGATTAATAATGCAATTAGGCCGGCCTGTAAGACTTCAATGAATAAGACTGCGTTTTTGCGAAAGAAGTTTTTGTAGGTGTTTTACTAATGAGTTTTAAAAGGGAATTAAATAAGTTAACAGTCATTTTTGAGCTTAACTCAACTCTGTAGCATTCTTTCTGTGTAACTCAAAGAGAAAAATTCATCACCGCAATATGCGCAACACACACCTAACGAAAAAAATGCAGAAAACTAAGGAAAAAAGAAGTGGCTGTGGCAGTGGCAGTGGCAGGAAAATTGTCATAAAGGTGCAACTGACAACAGCAGAAGAGGAGCCAGCGAGGTTAGTAAATTTCAATTTATATGCAGAGAGAACAGTGAGTGAAAAGGCAGACACAGGACATGGCACACAGGACATAGGACACAAGAGGATGAGAACGAGAACGACAGGCACACACAGGACGCACAGTCAAGGAGCCAGCCAACGCAAAAAGTGTCACCGTTATATTTTCTCGAATTTTCCAAGATTTTTCGTGCCATTTTATTTCCCCGTTCTTGCTGTCATTTTCATTTTATTTTTGGATGCCAGCGACGCAAGTGGAAAACGCAATTTCATTAGACAAATTGAAAAAAATAAGTGCAAGCGTACACAACAACCAGAGCGAAAGGACTCTGTGAGAGGTTCCCATATATCCCATATATCCTATATATACATCTTTTTTTATGTACTATATATGTACCCTATGTATTGAGAAGACTGACGCCATATTGCGGACAATCTGAAGATTTTTGCTGGTCGTTTGCCATTCGTTGCGATTGTTTTTCACGCGCACATACGTGTAGGAGCGGAATGGAGTGTATATACAGATGTGGATGGGCATCCAACGGTGGAGCAGCCTCGTCCTTGTCCAACAGGATGCTGCGCGCGCGTTGAAAAGAGGCGGAGACTCTCTGCCCAAACGGCAAAAAATAAAACAAGCCCAACACTTGGCGCTGCGAGGAGCACAGCGCGGAAAACACAGCCCGGAAAAAAAGCCAAAGAAAGCACTGAATGCAGCCGGGGCTCTTCCCTTTCAACACAGTGTTTTCTGTTCGGCAGCACTCGCTTGCCTCACTTTCCCAACTTTTCCGCTTTCCCCCAAAAACGATGCGACGTCGCTGATTGGAAGCTTCGGCAACCTGCTCGTTTTTGGGGCGGAGCAAAAGCTCTCGACGCAGTGGCGCCACCAAATGGGGGAGCATTTTACATTCAAAGGGGGTTCATTTGTCTAAAAATAAAAAGTTACGTTAACCTCTTTTTACAGGACACAGTACGTAAAATATGTTTTATTTCGAGTTCTCAAGATGTTACAATACGATGTTATTTTAGATGTTATTTTATTATTTTTTGAATAATTTATTTTAATTTTTTTTGGGGTTCAATTGATATCTAGATATTCAAAGACAGTATTCCAAATAACAAAGATTTTAAAAAGTAGTAAAATCAATTTTTTACATTCAGTTTGGCAATCGTTTTTTTGTTTATTAAAATGGGTTATACTTTACACTAATAAAAATAACAATTTGAGTTTTGGTTTATATTTTACATTGTAAGCTTACTATTGTCTTTAAATATAAATTAGTTTTACATTTTTTGATCGAAATAAGTAGCTCTTCTGTTATTAGCAACCTACAAAATATCAATTTCTCGGGCTGCGGCAATCATGCCAACAAATCCTTCGGTCACCTCGCGTGCCACTGGAATAATATCCTCGGGTGGAAGGAGAAAGCCAAGAGCGCCCTTATCGCGCAGTTCTATGGTATAGGGTATTTTGATGTTCTTCACCGCATAGGCCCATTCCTTGCCCGAACCAGAGACTTCATCTATAAAATTGAACATATAAATGATCGAAAATTTGAACTACAAGATGGGCAACCCACATAAAGTTGTAGCACTGGATCCGTAGGTGAATACGGTGCCATATCTCCTGTAAAGAGCATCCGAAAAGCCCTTGGCCACGTGCATCATTTGGGGATAGTGTTCGGGGAACTCAGCAGCGGTATGTCCCCAAGGTGAAAGCACGTACTGCCCATAAGAGTGAAGCGATATGTAGATCTTAATGCTGCCATCAGGTATGGAGTTGTTTATATAAGCAGTTAGCTGGCTGATTTCGGGATCTGATTCTGCCGAGGGTCCAGCATAGATCTCTGAGCAAGGATTCGATTCGGCACCAGTCACTTAATAATAAATGCATTAATTAACATAAGATAAAACTAGTTTACTTTTAAGTTAGTTAAGAGTGGTTTAGGAATCCTAAAACGGAATTCTGACCCATCCACTTATTATCTATGCTTAACTGACCTATGGATATGAATACAAAGTTATGTTTCTATTTTTAAAAAGTGTCATTAATTAATGTTCAGCTTATTAAAAAAGTTTTCTCGTAATGTTTATCTCAAAAATATAAGTTGTGTATTAATCTAATAGCCTTTTTCTGTGAGAATATTTTTAAAAAACTTACACATCCAAAGAAAATCGAAGTTGCGATTAAGGTCGGTTCCGATGCACTTTCCCGTTGGATCCGAGGGCAGACGGGACTTTCGCCAAAGGCGTTCCTACCAGTCATGGGAATAACGAAAATAGGTATTTTATAATTGGTTCCGATCAGTGATAAGATGACGGCGCTTTAATCGACACGTATTTAATCTGATCGCAAATATTTTTGCAACGAGTCGGCGGCACTTTCAATTGCGGTAATCACTCAATAACACTAGTATTATGATAGAGGGTATATTGCCATAGGAATATTGCAAATTGTTTTTGGAAACCAACATTGCTTCAATGCTTTTAAGCTTGCACTCAAAGCATCAATGTCGATTTATAAAAAATTGTTTTAACTTCTGCTTGCCAAAGTTTAATAAATAAACAACTTATACGGAGTGCAACTTACATGCTCATGGGAATAGGCAAAACCATCCACATTTAGGACGGGTATGATGTACCAGTCTACATTCTGGGCTATATCCCTAACCGCTGGATTCCGGGGTACCAGTAACTCATCGATGAAGTAGGTGATCGTCGATGAGGTAATCCATTCGCGGGCATGAATGTTGGACTCAATGAAAACAGCTGGATTTCCCTCTTTGTGTGAAAGTTTAACACCCCTAATGGGTCTTCCCTCGTAGGAGTTTCCGATGGCGAAGGGTGTGACTATATCGGGATAACGAGCCTCGATCACATCAAGCCATGAGTATATTTCTTCAAGAGTGTGAAACTGAGTCCACTCCATGGAAGTAATACGCTGTTTGGGTCTTTGGGCATCGATGTGGGTTTGAACATTCTCGATCTTTAGGCTATATGTAAAATTGTGGGTGGCCAATAGGCTTTCAAAGATCTCCTGAGATTCAGGAGGCAGCATTAAGTCAGAGGATTCACCCAGGTGACGAGCTTCACGCCAACTGCTCAGCTGTAGAAAAAGTTAGTTTTAATAAAGATATAAGGTTGTTAAGCTCTAACCTACCTTTAAGTCTTTTTCTTGAGCATTGAGCAACTTATACTGTTCCAGGTTATCAATCCTCACATTGTAGACTTTATAATTATCATATCGGACTTGCTCTACGCCAAAAACCAGACCAATGAGTCCTACGAATAGGAGAATTTGCACCGACATACCGCTCGAATGAAAGGCTACCGGGTAACTGTCGAAGCCCGAAGAATTGCAGTTTGATTAGACCAAACTTATCGCGACGACTGCCCAATGAGCCCACTAAATAGGCCAACTCGAAAAGTATTTTTTATCAGCTATAAAAACAAACTATTTTGGGCTGGGCGAAAAAAAACCACAAAAAGGGCGAAGACTCCAAACAGTTCGAGTTGTCTGGGCAGGCGAGCACTTGGTACTTAGGCTGTCTCTCAACTTTGCACATAAATTTTGTGCAACGGCAGCCCATTTCATTGTAGGTCATTGCATAATGAAGTTACCGCCCCGAGGCACATAAATTTCCCTCGAGCTGGAGGAGATTTCAGCCCGCTTTCTGTTCGCTGTCTTCTGTTTGACTTGCGGCGCTTAGTGTGGCGCATTTTGTGTAGGCCTGTTTCGAGTTGGAGTTTCAGTTTCAGTTCGTTTTTTATGTCCTGTGGCGAGTGCTTAAAGGACTTCGTCCTGGGCTTTGGTCATATTTTGCGCGGGTATTAGAGGAACACGACTTGGTCGTTGTCACCGCATGAGGTGCGTCAACGTGTGTCCTGTGCCGACAAAGGTATGAGGTTTTCTTAAGTGGCCTGGACATGAAAGGCGCATCAAAGTGGATTTGCAACAGGGGGGAAACGGGGAACGCAGAACTACAGGGGTGGCAGCAAAATATTTCGCAAAAATGTTAATGGCTGTGTGAAATATTGGTGGAAAATGCTAAACTTTTAGTAGCATTCAATCTGGTTAACTTCTGACTGCCCAACTGAGAAGGGTGAAGAATTTACAGCCTTTACATTAAATCAGGGATTTAACAGCACTTTACAAAGTCAACCATAAAGGATATCAATGCATTACAATTTTGTATGCCTCGAAGCTTTTAAGTTTGATGTATACAATGGAAGCCACTTAATGTTTTAAAGGCTATTAAGTACAATATATTTTTGTTGTTGTTTAAATTGTATTTTAAACGTTGGAACCAGTAAAATAATAAATTTAAAATTACACAAAATCTTCTTGAGCTATTACGATAAAAATGCGTTGTTTACATTCAGCAAGAATCAGTAAATCAATGAAATCAAATAATATTAGTTAAGCAAAAGCACAAATATTTTAGGCAAAAATTATTAACTGTAATTGGCCCTCTTATTTAAATTTATCTGTAAAATTTACCAATAATTTATTTTGATACAGAAAAATGTTTTGACATGTTGTTTTTGCTGTTGATACTTGATAATCAGACTTTCTTGTCACAGAAAAGAATACATAAATATTCGGATATTCAGAATTAAACTTATATTTAAATATTTAAGAAAAATGGGACCCTTTGGTACTTATATTGCATTAATGACTGCGGCGTGGGGAATGCAGCTTTGTCCTCGGCTATATATCGGCTCGGGTCAATCAATCTTAAGACTGCAGATTTCGAGCATTACAAGGGCCTTTATTGAGGCCAATCTATATACTCTGCTGACGATGCTGGTTGTACTTGTGCCCTTTAAAATGTTTACAAGCCAGCGGCAGCGCAACTTCAAGTTCATCTTTGCAATGCCCTATTTGCTGCAGTATATCAGCTGTTTTTGGATCACTACCCAGAATATTAATGAGCTTCTGACGTCACCTGCGATACTGGCGATGGAGGATTATGTCTTAATACACCTAAAAATGATCCTGATCTTTGGTCTGCAGCTGCTCGCATTGATAGAAATGGTTTTCGTTTTGTTTTACCTCCTGAAGAAGCAGTCTCAGGAGGTGGTTAAATATAAATAATCTGAGTCTCAAGAAGGAAAATGCAAAAGCAGGAGCCGTAAGATGAAATTAAAGCTCCTACCCTTGCGCCAACTCCTTTCAACAATTAGTAGCGGATTATTTGATTAGCCCGCTAATTGCCTTGTCCTTAACACCACACCAAATAAATTTTGAGAACACTTATTTCTTATCAGTGGCAATAATGGCGAGCCAAGCGGGATTAAAGCCAGCTCGCTGGCGCAGGATAACAAGTCCTGCGGCGAAAACTTGCGCCGAAACTTTCGACACCTTTTTGCCGACGACGCGGGGCGTGGAAATTGCGGAAAACTTTTTAACCAACGGCGAACACAACACTCGTCGTGGCGCGTGCGATAAGCCAGTGCCGCATTTTTAATTGCCAAAGTCCTTGGGAGTTGAGTCGGCTCAAAGGACTCGCTTAAAGCAGCCTTTAAAGTGTCATAAATATCGCGGAGTTAACATTTCCTGCAGGAGTTGTGTTAATTGTGTTATAGCGGATGGCGAAAAGTAAAAAAATCAGCCATAACATAAATCTCAGTGCTTGACCGGGAGGACATGTCGTATGCTTAATATTTTTCACTCAACTCGCGAAAAAATGTCAATGCCGGAAAGCGTTTAGCATTTGCTTTTTTCTCTGTTCGCCGTGGATTTAATTAGCCTCAAAACGTCCCCAGAAAATGGCAACCTGGCATGCCACATGGCAAGTGTCCTCACGTTTGTGGCGAAGGGTCACAGGATAAGCCAAGGAAGTGGCCCCGACCAAGGAAGGAAGTTGCATGTTCGGCCTCAAGTTCAATTTGCTGGTTTTAGCCACATTTTTGGACATTCAAAAGGAGCTTGTGTTGGGGTGGGCAAAGCGGTTGAGGAAAACATTAAGATGAGAGATGGGTGTGCTTTTATTGTGGAGGCAATGGTCATGAGCCGAAAGAATTTAAAAACTCTGTAGTCCTGATAAGATTCAAATGACTATCTGAAACATATATTAAATTTTTTTGAAAAACATCATAAAAATAAGAACAATTTAAAGTCATGTTCAAGGGGTCAAAAACTTATGATTTGAAAAAACCATCCAAAGCTTATATAAAAATAGTACTAGATAAAGAAAATGAACATATATAAAATATATTTTAAATTAAATATATAATTGCAAACGTCATAAGTATACATTTATGTACAAATGCTTGTATGTATTTGAAACTATGTTAAGGGCAGTTTTCTTATGTTTTAAAATTCAAATCAGGGATGATTTTTTCCATCTTTTAGCAGTACACTTAACACTGTGAATAACATTCTACACAAATTATAAAATTTTAACAAAATAAGCAAAGCTACTGTCTTTGCTGGAGATGATATCGACAGAAAGAGGAAGGTGTGTAATTGCTTGTTAAAAATGTAATTGCTTGTTAAATCCTGTTATAAAATCTTAAATATTCTATTTTGCACTATGAATATTACAATATGCTCGCACTCGTGAGTAAATAACAGCAGAAACCAAGCTTAATCTTAAATGAGGGTTTGAACGTATTAAGGGCCACTCCACCGAACCAAACCTTTATTTTGTGAAATAAAATCCACCCATTCTCACCTAAATCTATTATGCATGTTCTTGGACCATTACTGCAACATCTTTTACGTATGAACTGCTGATCGTTATCATGGCAATTATTATTTTCTACCTTAAGCAGGCCGCTCTGTTGTTAATTTGACTCCATTTCCCGCTGGAAAAGACCAGGAAGAATTGCGGCTAAGTGGTTCCATGCGTTGACACGCCCAACTGGAGCAGCAATTACCTGGGAATAATTAACGCTGATGCATTGCAATATAATTGCCGAATAGGCACGCTCGTGTGATCATCTCCTTTCCGATCCCTATAACTAGTCATCCTATGGTATAGAGTATATTCCATAACCCCCATGCCGACTGACGTGACAACGTCCGCAACAAGTGCCACCTGACTTGACTTTTCGCCAGGGGCGTGGCACATGCCGATGTGATGATGATGTGCCGTGTTCAGTAAGCGATTATTTTTTCAGTTGAGAATTTCTTCAGCGTCACTGGGGCATCGAATTGTTTTCATTTCGTGTGTTTGTTTTTTAAACGTCGTCGCTGGCAGCTATTTATTGTTAAATGAAGCGATTTGTTTGTTGTCATTATGCGTCGAAGCGTTAAAACATTTTCGCTTTATTTTTTCTACTCTCGAAAAATTGTTTTTTCCCTGCCGCAAAGCGAGAAAATTGGGAGTGGGTGTGCCGGTTAGAACGGTGGAATATGGCAGCAATAGCCTCAGGTTGAAGTGGTTGGGATTTTTTGGCACATCGTCGGTGGTTCAGGTGGCTGTGAGTTGTGGGGGTTAAGCGGTAAGTGGTTGGAGCGAATTCCTTCTAAGCGCCGTTGTCGATGTGTGAATTCCAAACAAGCTGCGGCAGCTGTTGAACATAAAGGCATCAAGATAAAAAAAATAATGTTAGATTTGTTCTAGGTTTTTTTGCCTTGGTGGGGCGGATAATGGGACTGTGCAAAATTGTGAGAAGTGCAGAGAGAGGCACTAATGTCCTTCTTTGCGCTTTTCAAAAAGGTTCGATCTTGTGATTTGACTTCAGTAATAAACATTTTTATTAAAGAAATATCCTATAATAAAAACTTGTTGTGTTTTAAAGTTAACTAGACAGTGATTTATCAAAATAATGTGAAAAAGGAATATTTTAATTTCACAAATTGTTAATGAAATTCAAATACTCAGAAGTTTACTTTGAGTTGAATGGTTACTAAGAGAATTATAATTAAAATGTTTACTAATTGTATTTATCTTATTTTATTTCCAACATTTTGTTTTGCCTAACACTATTTTAGAAGGATATTATTTTTTTAAAGCACCAACCCCTTTTGGCGCTTGGCAATTTAGTTTCCACCTGGGAACATTAATCATAGGCATCGGCACCCCAGCTCCATCCTGCTCACATCATTGACTTAATTCCACCTTGACATTCTTTTGGCTTGTAGCTGAGAACCCACATCAGCGATCTCAGACATGCTAACTAAGCCCTTCACCTCGATGTGGATGTAGACGTGGATATGCTGATGCTGATGCCACCGTGGGCGTTTGTCTCCGCCTAATCCGCTTTTAAAGTAAGTAACAAAGTAAAGAAAATAAAACGCAAACCGGAAATCACAAGTCAAGTTGATGAACTGTCGCTGCGGAGCTGTCCTCGGTTGAAAATCGGGCAGAGGCACACACAAAAGACATGGCAATGGCACCTGCAAAAAAGTTTGCAGACACATTTGGACCCTTTGCCCCATGCGTATCCCCTTGCCCGTTAGAGATTTACGCATTTATTTTGCATTTTTTATTTACCGCACAAAACATGCGCGCAGATTTAAGCAAAAATCGCAGGCTGAAAAGCAAAAGGCAACGAGTTGAGAGAGTTGGTTAGACACATTTTTCGGTTCGCTTGTCGATTTGCCTGCGTTGACATGACAAAAGGCGCAGATCTGCATACATTTGCATGTCATTGGACACTGGTGGATCGCATCATCAGGCAAGGACACTGAAATCCCCTTAAGACATTCGGGTATTGCCCCAGAACAAGCCGTTTGCCCACGTTAACAATATGTTAAGTTGGCCTAAGTCAGCCTCGAAACTCCAGATACATTTCCAGCCTCTTCCTCAACGAGTTAATCGCTTAATGTCGCTCCTTCTCGGCCATTCGAGTCATTTGTCAGCTGTCTGTTCTGACTTTTCAGAGTCTGGGTGAGGTTTTCCTTTTCGATGGGGGGGGAGCATAATTGTAATTTGTTTGAATTAACCAGCGAGATCTAGCCATTGACAGGCTGGCCCCCGAAGACCAATAGTCACCACTTGGAAATACCGAAATTTATGGCCGGACCCTGGACCATTAACAAAAGTAGCAAATTGCTTTCGGCTGGTCAGCACTCGAGGCTAATGTCCTCACTATTTACTGACCAGAGATCTCCGGCCCCTTTCGAAAGGTAATAAATATCAAAAGCACCCTGGAGGCAAATATTTACTTTAAAATTGAAACCCCCAAACCGTTCAGCTATCCCTGTTTGCTCAAGCTGCGTAAGTGCGTGAAAGGGTTGGCAGGCTCAAAAAAAATATATTTAAAAAAAAAGAAGCCTTTAATGGCATCGCTTTTTGATGTTTCCTCAGCCGTGGGTGTTGGCAGGCAATTGGCCAACTCCCCCAAGCCCACACATCAATAGCTTTCCTGCCATTTTTCTCTATCTTAACCCATCGATAAGAAACATTGCCATCATGCCATGCCGAAATTCAATTCGAAGCTATTTTGAGAATTTTTATTGCTCGCTAAATTGTTTTTATAGGCCTTTCCGAACCAGCCAGAAGCTCTTCTTCCGGGGCACTTTAATTTCTTTATTTCCACAGCTTTTTTTCTGGTCTTTTCCGTTCTGTCCGTTGTTATCTCGCTGCTCTTGTTGTTGCCGCAATTGCCAGACCATAAAAATTAACAATTAACAGAGCGCTTGAAATGAACAATCGCAAATCGCGGCTTACAAAATAGCCGTGGAAATGCCATGATATAAAATTGAAAAAATGGCGTGTCACAGGGGGGGGGAATGGGAGCACAGCTTTTAGAAATGAAGCCAGTGGACTTGGAAATACTCTATTTGTTTATTGAAACTATATAATAAATCTTTTAATTGTGACCACTAACATTTTTCGAGTTATTAAAGTATTTAAGTTATGAAAGATTGATTGTAATTAAATTGTTAAAAGAAAACAATCATGAGGTATAAAATTAATACTTTGTTTCTTACAGGTCCTAATATCGTAAGCTCTTTAATAGTTAATCTACCCTATTCCAATCTCATATTTGTATAAAGTGCATAATTATGAGACGGAAGACTGCCAACCGTGCCGACCAACGGACAGCGCGGACAAAAAGGGTTATGAATGTGAAATTGTCATGCAAGAATTAGCCGTGTTCTATGTTCTGGCCACGTCGCGAGTATTTCGTTACTTTTTATATTTATTTTTTACCAGTTTCACCCTCGGTTTTTTTTTTTTATTTTCGCTGGTTTTGTGGCTAACCGACACGTCAAGAACGGTGGCTTTTTATGGCTCCGTTCGGCCCGGAATGTCAGCAATTATTTCCGAAATGCTGGAAAAACATTGCTAAATGTT